TGTTTGGCAGACCTAGCCACACAGATGATCTTACAATGACACCTGCAAGAAGGAAACAGTGCATGATATTTAATTGTAGCTGCTGAGGAGGAAATCCCGCTTTGCAAGCAAATATAATTAAGGCGAAAACATTACCAGGAGATGTAAACTTGGTGTGGGTTTCATTACTTTTAAAACACCACAGATTTATTATTTTCAGCTTTTATTATTAAGTGCTTTGACTAATTAGATTTAAGTGGCAGCGTCCTTTCAAGAGTTATTTTACAATGTGGAAATATTAACGCCCACCAGGTGTGTTTTATAAGGGTGTTTCCATTTCCTCCATGAAACTTCCTAGCTTCACTGCCGAATGGAACAATGGAAGCACTCCCAGAATCTTTATTACTGTTCTGTATTTCATTTTAATCTGTGTCATCAGCGGGTTTCAAGCTGCTACCCTGCAGCGGTGCATGAATCTCCATGGGCACCAAGTACACAGAAATCAACCCATTTAGAAAAAAAAAGAGGTTGGGATGCTGTGTACAATTTAAGTTAAAGAAATTAATGTATACAATTTAAAACATTTAAAACCTTTGTTTAAATGAAAAGGTTAAACGTTAAAGCTTTAATGACATGTCCATTCTGGATTTGAATGGACATGCCATCAGTGAAAGTTACAAGTCACCAGAAAATCACAGGTTTTGCAGATGTTGGCAAATATGATGGAAAAGAGAATAAAACAATACTGAGATATAAAGTTTTTCTCTTTGTTTGCACTCCTACTGAAACCCAAAGACTGTTACCAGACTCAACGGCAGCTCAAATACCAGTGAGTTTGAAATGTTAAAATATAATACACTTGACCACTTTCCAGCATTGTTAATGAGTCCCACTTTGTTCCAGACAAACAGTGTTTGGCCCACATTTACTTTGTTGATATCTGCTCACTCTATTAATTAGCAACATCATAAGTACTCAGAGAGCATCTCAGGAGGGGTTTGCCACTCTTTGATAGACTGCCTACAAGAATAACATTTCTCAATATAAAAATTCAAAGAATATGGTTGCATTCTTTACAGTATGCAATAGCATCAAAGATTCAGAAGATGCAGACTACTCGATTCAACAAAGTCAAAAACTATACTGAATAGTTGAAATCCCAAGAAACTGTGGAAGCTTATTTTAGCCATAAAAAAGAGCCAACCACAAGTCTACATTTTGAGTTACTAAGTCAACAATTTGAGATCATAGCACAAAATTTCAATTTATGAATGTCAAAAACAAGCTTTCAAAGAACTAAATAGTGACTTGGACATTAACACTAACTTTAACCACTGGCCAACAGCACAGTTTATTGCTGCATTCACAAATGTGAGCTGAACCTCTACAATGCAAAGGGGGAAAAATACATACAAGATCCAGAAACACTGGTGCCAACTCTGGGTCACGCTCATTTAAGATGGGCATAGGTGAAGTGGAAAACTCACTGTTGCATACCATGCAATCATGCTCTACTAACCGTTCTGTGAAGGCCTATTTAGTGATGAAAGATTCACATGCAGGCACTGGAAAGACCTTATAAGGCCTTACTTATTTCAGCAAGACAATGTCAAACCAAACCCTGCATTTTCTCAAACATCAGTAAATAATATTTGGTGAACGAGTATGTGAAGGAAACTGGCCCGCTGTCACTCATCTAAAAAAAAAGTGCTGGCATCAAATTCAAAATCTAAACAATTTTCAAAATCCAATAATTGCTTTCTCACAGATAAGGATTTCAACAAAAATACATATGAAATAATCTAAACAATCATACTAAATACTGTTTTTATTTACATTTAATTTTTTTACATTTGTATTTGGAAAGATTATCGTGTCATCCCTGTGTGACTTTGAGAAATCCGCCGCATTCCAATCAATCTAGGCCAAGTAAAAGTGCAGCATCTTCTGAGTTATTTCATCACTCACATGAGAGGATCCCGATTCGTTCTTTTGATTTTAATTGAATTCATGACCCTGGGCACACATTTTATCTTGTAAAAATATATGTAGCATCGACTATTGCAGATTAAATCTCACACTTTTCTTTTAACAGACACATTTCTCATAGTTGCACCTATGCAATGCAGTGCAACAAAGGGGTTAAAAGGAAAGTATGTGCGTGCGTAATTAGATCCAGCAAGCAAAACCACGCTGCGAAAACTAACTCGCTCTTTGCCTCAACTATGAAGAGAAAAAGTAGGTCAATGCCAGCAGTTTCTTCTCTACCTGTGCATCCCAATATGTCACATATACTGATGATGAACAATATCCGCGAGGAGGACGCAGGCCTTGGCAGAGGATACTGCCCGAGTCTTCTGTATCCTTTGCGTTTTGGTAGAATTTGTAAAATAGCGAATAAGAGGCTTAAAGCCGCGCTTCCCAGACTTAAGGCGCCGAATAAGACGGGCTGAAAAGTGACCACAAACTCTGTCGCCGCGTCTCGGTTCGGGCAGCAGAAAGTCTCCATCCGCGGAGATGCCATGATGGACTGAAGGAAAAAGCAGCGCGGAGAAAGAGAAAGGAAGAAAATGAACTACCGTGCCAGAAGAAAGAAGACAAAGAAAAGAAAATGAGAGGAAATGACTGAGTCCATGACCCAACTGAGAAATCACGGGGTTGAATCATCATGTGCTTCCATTTAATCCCTGCAGTTGTAGCTTAACTGTGTCACACAAAGCAAGAATCCGACAAAGCGCCGTTGTTTGAAAAGGTCTTAAAAGGTCTTAAAAGGGGTGGCTTCATCACAGTACTCTGTGTATTTATGTATCAGTTTAAACGATTTACAGAAAAGCCCGAAAATGCACAAAACATCACAATATTATGATCTTATTATATTATATTTACATTAGTGTATAAAAATATATGTAAATCAACCAATTAGTCCCTGTTTCTGCTGTTAACCCCTTTGCATGACTAATTCCGTTCATTAGAGAAATAGTACTTTTTTACACAGGACGTGAAATACCACACAGACATCCCCAAACATTTAATCTCTGTCAGTCTCTTGGACAGCTGAAAGTTTCAAGCCGGACAGGTGTTGTGCCAAAAAGTGATTTCTGATGTTTCTGCGCGTTTTTATGTGTAATATATTTGCTTATTTTGTTAAACGGACTGTAGTCCATTGAATTTTTAAACAGTGTTAACAAAGAAATGTCCCATTTGTAAATATCTTTATGGCTCTGCGTTATTGTACCCGCATTATAATCAATTCAGGCCTCTATGGCCATTTAAAATATCTTCATAAAACCGTGATGTTGTATTTGTTGATCTTTCTGCTGCCCTCTCAGCCAGAGCTCTTTTGAAAAAGACATTTTTAATGTTAATGACAGTTTTTACCCAGATGAATAAAGGATATATAAAAGTCTCTTTGCCGAAAAACCGACTGCAGCTTCTACCTTGTGACTTGAATTCTCTTTCTGGCTCAGAATGACTTGATATCATTCATCATAGATATGTTTGACCAACAAGTCACTTACATCAGTTTTTAGGCAAATACAGGAAACCACTTGTTGTTAGTTGCTTTTTGGCACAACACGTGATTAAGAAGTGTTCTCTGTAAAGGCAGAAGATCTATGCCCTCCTCCTGGAGGTGATGCAAACCCCTTCATGTCTGCATGCATAAACTGGGACTCCTCCACCTTTTGGTGAGCTGTGAATGGTCCTCTGGTGAGCTGTACCAAGTGATCAGTAAACAACTAAACCTACGTGCTTTGAGTTTATCTATTTGTTTACATTTTTCCTAGTCAAATCGAGTCGTATCTGCACTATGCCCTGTTTAAACGTGATCCACGAGCACGGAAAGCTTGGGTCTAAATGGTTTCAACCCATTTCTTAGACTCCAGACAGAAAAGCTGACATGTGGTGCACTGTGCTTGCATGGGTTAGCTGAGTCTTGTATGAAGTCCAAATACAGGAGAGGTCATAGCTGCTGGATCTGCTTGCCTGGCCTGAGATCTGAGAAAACTGGTGGACATTTGAAGCAGATTTATTTGGGGAACAAAGCATCAAGGGCCTTCATTATTCTGAAATACAGAGAAGGCATTCATTCAGTTTGCAAAGAGCTTTTCTAATCCATATGCACCTTTCCCTGACAAGGCACAAAGTCAATTGTACAGCGAGTGTGTAGCCTTTTGCCAGAGATTAACAGCTCCCATAGGAATACAATTACAGTATTGATTTGCTTTGAACATCTGCTCTCTGTGACTGCCCTCTGCTGGTCTGCATATATTCTATAGCTCTAAAGAATTGAGCTGATGTAATATGCAATTCTTACATTATGCAAAATACATTTTAATAAATATTTTAAATGAATTAGCTGCTACCATGATTGATTACAGATCAAGTCAAGCTCCACACCCACAAGATTACTGGGCTTTGTGGATCAGTTTGTTGAGTCTGTCTGATGCTTGTTACTCTCAGTCTGCTGCCTCAGCATACCACAGCGCAGCAGATGGCACTGGTCACCGCAGACTCATAAAGCAGCCACAGCATCATCCCACAAATATCCCACAAATATCAAAGGACCTCAGAAAATCCAATAATATACCATGGCATGAAGCGTTATTGCTGAAGAAAACTTTCGAAATGATTAGAGCTACTTTTAACAAACCAGTTGCAACAAAGTGAGCGCTTTATGTCAAGTAACAATTTTCAAGAAAATGTAACCAAAGTCATAAAATCTGGGCATAATTTTAAAGAGCTTATTATATCCGATAACTGGAAACAATATACTGCATGAAGATCAAATTCTTTAAATGTAGAAAGTCACTCTTGCCTCCAAGTTTTTAAACCAATGATGCATAATATTTTTCTGAGGCGGGCACAACTTTATAATAAACACCGAATATTAATTTCCCTTTATTAAAGTTAAAACGCCAGAAACCCCCTCCCCCAGCGCCGCCCATGTTTCCTGCTGGAGAGGATGGGTGTGGAGGTACAGTGTCATATTACACACAAACTACAGACCTGTTCAACAGGCGTCTTTCTCTCGTTTTCTGCACCTCCATTGGCTGAGACTAAAACTGCTGCTTGAAACTAGCCTGCTTCCTGAATGGCAAACACTTTGTGTGACAGGAAATAACACTGACAGAACCAAGGTCAGTCACATATCTACTGAAAAAGATCAAAACAAAAACAAATGAGGACAAAATATATTTAACTCCTAGTTGGACACAGTTCAGTTTAGGTTCCAAAGGCTGTGGCGAAAGACAACCGGGCCACAGAGGAGCTTTTGAACCCACACTGTGAGTTATGTCTGCTGGACAGAAAAACACTCCGCGAGACCCTACATGTCAAAGTGGAACTGTTTGTTTCTCAAACCCTTTGATGAGTGGTGAGTAACAGTGCAAGCTCACACTGCAGCTGGGCTCTATTTACTGCTTTATGCAGAGACTTTCATCCGGTCTTCTAATGTATTCATGTACCTATGCAGGTAGGTTTCTAAGTTAAATAACTATTTTATTTGTCTGCACAAAGATGTTGAATCAGACTGGTCTCCAATTCACGAAGCAGCCTTTAACGGACGTCTCCTCACCCTGCAAAAGCTCATTGATCAGGTAGAGTTTTAACTGAATATTGTAAGTTGTGCTAAAAGGGGGAAAAAAAGTTGCCTTCCCATAATATTAGATGTTAAATAACCATGTGTTTCTCACTATGATGTGAAACCTTTAATAAGGCGACTGTGTCCTCATATGGCAGCTTGCTTTCCAAAAGTTGCTATGTGCATCTACCTCAATGACTCTATATGTGCTGTGTTTTGTTCACAGGGTGCATGTGTAAATCTGAACACTCTGGATATGGCCTCACCCCTTCATGGGGCGTGTACACAAGGTCACACGGCTTGTGCCAAGCTTCTGATGGAAAACGGTGCAAATGTCAGTAAAGCATCATCATGTGGTGTTGGTTTATTTGTGGTTTTTGGCTGAATTCATGAGAATCTCAAATTTAAGACGGTATGCTGTCAGTTTTTGCTTGAAAGAGACTCACAGTTCGTTCCCAAAACAACCATGTCAATTATTGCCAATATTAACTTATTGATGGGAGACTGCAGTAAGATTTTAACCGAATACACAGCCACGGTCGTGCATGGACAATAACTCATTAACAAACAAACATCAGCTGATATAAAGCCAAATTTGTCCAACCACCATTATCAGAATGAGAATCAGAGTCAGAAATTTTTAATGATCCCTGAAGAAATTATGTAGTCACAGTCCTTCTAAGACAGTAAGAATACGTAACTAAACAAACCAAAACATGTGTAAATATTTTTAGTGATTTTTTTATTCATTGTTAACCTTATTGCTATATCGCCATGCATCAGGTAAACAGCTCAACTGTGGATGGAAAAACTGCCCTGACAGAAGCATGTGCTCAGGGGCACGTGACCTGTGAATCGCTGCTTCTTCAACATGGAGCTGCTTCCCTGGGGACCAGCCAGTCCAGTTCTCCAATTCATATAGCTGCAACAAAAGGTTCGAGGTCAGACTCAGATATGTGAAAAATCTATCCTGGCAGAAGTCCCAAAATCTCTTGAATGGCAGGCAAAAGCAGATTTTTACAGCAGAACCTTTCAAGAACATTTCTTATCATTGTGGTGATTTCTGTTTCCTCTCCCTAGGTCATCCTGAGTGCATTGAACCTCTTGTTCAGTACGGAGCAGATGTGGATCAGCATGTTGACGAGTTAGGAACCCCTCTCCAGATTGCCTGCTCCAATCAGCATCTGAGCACCGTGAGGAAACTATTGCAGCTGGGTAAGAAAGCTTCTCATTTGAACTTTTATTGCTAAAAGAATATCCATTCTTCCAATATCTTATCAGTTGGTGGAAGACTTTGAGACCTTTTCAATGGCAAAAAGAGAGTGGTGCTCCATTGTGCGATATTCAGAGTGCAAGTCTAGTGTTCAATATTTTATTGAGAGAAGCGTACAAAAACTTGCGTATAAAACCCTTTGTGGCTGCAGACAGAGCTGTGGAAAATTAGATAAACCCCTACACACAACATCACATGAGCCAGCATTAGTAGGGGTTGAAGATTGGGTTTATAGAGCAGAGAATTAATTATCTTATTAGACCTGTTTGGTGGAGGCTAGCTGCAGGGGCTACTTTAGAAACTCTTGTAATATCATAAACATTACACACAATAGCAGTACAGGTAATGTAGAGGCTGGATTTTAATAACAAGAAAGGTATATAACATGGAAATATGTGCCATGCTATGGTGCTGCGCAAAGGTTTCAGGCACTAAAGTGAAGATGTCTTGCAAAAATATCATCAGTACTTCAAACCTCAGTGTGCGGTAAACAAACCCAAATCATATCAATATTTCTTGTACCAACATGGCTTTTAAGACAGTAGATCTACTCTGTATATTTGCATGTACTTTCACAAGCTACCTTGCATGTTGCGCTAAGAAACCACAGTCCTCTTGTGGCTTCAGGTTTTGTGTTTTTTCATGTAATCCCAGGCTTGGAGACTCTTAGCATCTTTTGCAGGACTCCTTGTCCTTATTCTTGTAAATTAAAATACAGCAGTTTTTTCCTGACTTGGGTTGTTCAACTGTTCTAACAAAGAAAACCTTTACCTGAACCACAACAAAAGCTTTATTTCATGTAATGTGGGGACATCATATTTGGCCTTTTCTTTTCTTCAGGTGCAAATGTGAACAGCAGCGTGTCTGGGGACTCGCCTCTGCACATGGCCGCCCGTCAGTCCAGCCCTGAGTTGACATCCGTCCTGCTTGAACATGGGGCGGATCTCTTCCTTAGGAACTCAGGGGGCAGGCAGCCACTGGACCTCGCTCCGCCCAACAGCCTTACAGAGAGACTTCTGAAACAAGCAGGAGGTAGTCGAGACTTTGCACTCAAGACTTTGCACTGGGCTGGTGGCGCAGCAAGAAGCTAACCATCTATAACGGCTCATGCTTCTCCCCTGAGTGTCCCCAGGAGTGTCTCCTCTAATGCAGCTGTGCCGACTACACATCAGGAAAGCTGTGGGCAACAAGAGGCTGGGTGCGATTTGTGACCTTCAGTTACCCACAGAACTGATAGAGTATCTGCTCTACCAATCAGACCCAAGGGGAGATCTTAATGCGCTGAAATTCCTCAACCCTGCAACCTCAGATTTTGAGTCTTAAAAGTTTTTGGTCAATAGGGGGCAGACTTGTATAATCTTACATGGTGGCAACAACGTCCTTGCTCCTGGTTGATGATGAACCACAATGTCGGAATTACTTTCAGTGAAAGATATCCTATATCTTTGTTGCTTCCCTCAGGAAGGGAGGCTGGATGGGAAAGACATCAATTAGTCTTGATGTTTAATACAGGTGGATGATGCGCACAAGCTACCAGACGTTAGGCTACTAAAAAAACTCTTTTTTTTTACTCCTTTAAGTTTTTGTTCATAGATATTTTATGTTTCGCTTAGAAATGTGTTGCTCTTAATAGTAAGGCAAATAAAAACGCACTACTGAATGCAATGATTCCTGTTCATACCTTTTTTATTACTCAAGTTTAAGACAAATATTCTAGTGTTAAGATATCTTACTAATGACTTACTGAAAAAGCTGCTGCACTCTTAAAGAGTACATTTGAACAGAAAAACAACATAATTAGAAGCACAATGGATAAAACTAAAATACCCGAGCCCAGAAAAAAGTGAACTTCCTCTGTTTATCATGTGAATTAATCTTATGTCATCATTTCAGTAAAGCCTATTTTTACATAAACACAATCAATACTCTTCTGTCTACCTGACTAAAAAACTGGGCCCTTTATAGATGCTATAGTAAAGATGCAAGATTCTGTTTTTCTTGTGTTGCTCTATGAGGGAACAAGAGCATCAAGATAGAACAACACTGTACACAATGCAATGACTTTTTCTTAAAGGTCACCACTTATGGCTATTCCCTTAAGATGCAATGAGTAGAGGCAGTGGAGGTAGACGAGTTTAAATACCTGGGGTCAACCTTTCAAAATAACCGACAGTGCACGAGTGTGGTGAAAAAGAGACTGCAGGGAGGGTGGAGTGGGTGGAGACGAGTGTCAAGGGTGATTTGTGACAGAAAGGAAGCAGCAAGAGTGAAAGTGAACATTTACAAGATGGTAGTGAGACCTGCTATGATGTATGGTTTGGAGATAGTGGTGCTGACAAAAAGACAGGAGGTAGCAGAGCTGAAGATTTTGATTGGGAGTAACCCAGAGGGACAGGGTTATATCAAAGGAACAGCTCAGTTTGGAATTAGACAGGAGGGGAAATAGATATACTGAAAAAAGGGTGCTGAAGATGGAGCTGGAAGGCAGGAGGGGAAAAAACAGCATAAAGAAGATTCATAGATGTGGTGAGAGAAGACATGCAGAGTTGGTGTGACGGGGGAAGATAGGGTGAGATGGAGGCAAATGACCTGCTGTGGAGACCCCTAAAGGGAGGAACTGAAAGAAGGGAAAAAAGAAGATGAACTTATCTCCATTCCCCAAATCCAGTATTGACAATAAGCTGCTGGTTTCACAGTAAACATTTGTTCCAATGCAGAAACGCCCATAGTTTTATTCAAGAATGTCCTATAACCAGGAACTTTGAGCAAGGCATTACTTTGTAATGCTTAGTCCTAGCAGCCTGTAAGCTTGTCAACAACCTACCAAGTAAGCACTCACTGACCCTTGACCCATATTTAATCAATACATACAACAGAACAGGAGCCAGAGCAGAAAAGAGGCTTATACTAGAAGTAAAAAGCAAGAAATGACTAAAGCAGACAATATGACTGGGATATGGATGCATTTTATGCATCTGTCATTTTTATTGGAAATGAGTAATGCCACTGTATCAAAATCATTGATTTCAACAGGTCATTTACAGATGATGAAGGAGCAGAATGTGCTGCTCCTTCACCTCTGGACATCAACATGATTTTATTCAATTCACCCACAGCCTTCTTGTTGAATGCGGCACTCGTTAACTCCCCATTGATCCCTCTGTTCCAATACGGCGCCCGAACTAAATCGTCACCCCCTCAAACACTGCATTAGCGCCCGGGGCCAGGAACACACGCACGCACACCGAGTTTCGATTTACCTGATCTTTAATGTGAAATCAATGCTACGGAGGAGTTTCTGTCTTCTGCAGCTGCTGGAAAAAAAAGACGTACAATATCCACAGCTTGCAATTAGTGATATCTCGAAAATCAGATGAGGCAAGTCTGTCTGGGAATCACCGTCATATGACCACTTGAATAATTTCCCACTCCAGTCATCCTGGCTGTTTTTGGACTCTCTGCTATTCTTCTGAAATATTTCAGAGTTCAGTCACGTGCTGCATGGCACTCAGATGCACTCCAAAAATCAACCAAGCTATGTGTGACACCAAAGCTTTTACTTTTTTCCCCTCTAGAGGTACACACTCCATTAACCTCTATCCATTTTTTTTTAAAGTGCATTGGCACTTTTTACCCAAATAGTGCAGAATGCACTTCCTAGCAAGGATGCAAGTTTTACATCCAATGCACATTCACTTAAAGCTATCCTATACCTTCTAGAAAGCGCATACACGAAGCTTTCACTTAAAGAAAGACAGCATATTTAGAGTTACCTCTAAAATATTAAAAGCTAGAGATGACAAAACACGATGCCATGTGCAGGGAAACAAAATAAATAAATAAATATTTTGTGGCATGTGAAAGCTGCCCAGTGTTCATAATGAAAGCAGGATTAGTTTACTCATTAATGCATGAAGAATTCTAATCACCCCTAAAATGTAAGCAGCTACCACTGACTGTGAACAAACTGCAAGTTGTTAAAGCCAGGCAGCCCTTATGTGCACACATCTAATAAGCAAACCGCGATCACTCCTCGCGCCGCGGCTCACATCCTGATTGCTCTGAGCTGGATCTTGTTATAGATATCAGCGCTTCCCACTAAGCTACAAGTGGGTTGTGCCGTGTCCTTGCACTCGCCAGTAATTGCTTTGGTAATTTTAGTTTAGTTCAGTGTTGGGGTAATTAAAACAAATTGAGGAGATAGTGTAGACAGAGATCTCTTGTGGCTCCTTGCTCGGAGTGTGGAGAAGTTTAGTGAGGTCATATGTTGCGATGTTTTCAATTAAGCACCTCTGTACTAATGAGGGTGCTCGGGAGCTTGAATATTTATGCAAAACAAGGCTGCTAAGTAGCCAAAACATCTATATTTGATCAAATGCTGGCGTTTTGAACTCCACAAGTTCATTTTTTTCCTCTTATTTTTACCTGAACTGATCACAAAGACAAAAGCCTTTTGATGTCAAATGAAATTAGATAAGGTGACCAAAGGTGTTTATTTTGTTTATATTTATATCATGTAAAAAATTATACAACGTGTTTGAAAAAATAACTAATACTTTCTACATATTGTGACTGTTGCAATTAATTTGAGTAAATTACATTTTTCCATGAGCAATATTAAAAAGCAAAAACAAAAAAAACCAACAAAAAAACACCAAGGAACTGATGTCACATCATTGAATCTGACTGTGTCAGAAAAAGAGAATCTCTTCATTTAGTCTTACTCCACAACAACTCACATGTCCTAAAGTCAGCCCTGCTGACTCTCCATGATAGCAGCTTGTGGAAAGGGCGGGAAAACATCAGATGACCGCCAATCAGGAAGTTCAAACGCGGCCCCGCTGGAACTGTGTATCAGGAATTTACAGAAACAGCTGATGGGGTGCCGTTGCACATCAAGATGGCTGCTGAGCTGTTCCCAGCAGGTGGAGACACAGCAGGTTTAGCATCACGAGGACTACCACCAACACAATGAGAACCTTCTGCAACCACAGGGTGTTGTCCAGCTTCTGCTCCAGCCGTGAGGTGCAGGCTGTGACTCGCATTAGCTGGTGAGACAAAAACTGGTTGAATGACCTCGTTTATGCTTCTAAAGTGTTTTTCAAACAGGTCGTGGAAACATGTGTGCAGGGAAAACAGGAACAGCTAACTGTTACGGTAAGAACCTCTCTTTGCTGACAGAAAAATTTTAGAAAATGAAGTCAGCATGTTCTCCATGTGTCTGCGTGGGGATTCCAACTTCCTCCCATAGTCCAAGAGCATGCATGTTAAGGGTGATTCTAAATTTGCTGTAGGTATGAATGTAGCATGAATAGTTGTCTGTCTCTCTGTGTTAGTCATTTGTGTGATGAACTGGAGACCTGTAGTGGATTTACCCAACTTTTCATCCTACTCCAGTCTGTGCTGAACTGAATAAATGGATGGATGGATGAGTGTCTGTTGCTTAAGTGGTGTACACACAGGTAGACATGTGGCGACCAAAGACCAAGAAATGCCAACAAAATACAGGCACTGTTAGCAAACTAACAGTTAACATTTTCCCACGTTAAACTTGAAAGATACTGTTGATTGCCATGTGACAGGGATGTATATTCATTAGATGGTTACCAATGGAGCCAGAGTCTGAAAAGTCTAAAAACTGACCAAGATTTCTGTATTTATTTATTTTTTACACCAAAACTCACCGCTATATTTAACTCCTGCTGCTCGATTGGCATTGTCTCCATTGGGTTATCCTTAAAAGATTTAATTGCTGGTTTAGCACTCTCCAGAACATGACAGCGCAATCTGTAGGAAAGACAATCTAATTAGTGTAGGATATCAGGAGGATGCAATCATTGGTCCACAGGAGTACTGTGTGGCAGAAACATAGTCCATCTTCATTTATTTCCATCATTTTAGACTTCAGTTAGCAGCTGTAATCCTTGTTCTGCGCTATACCCTTTTTGAGCTCGTCACAATAGCACACAAACTAGTTTTCAACTTAACTGGCCCTACAGCTCAAAGCTGATATCCAGCTGCAGTGTAAGTAGGTGGAGTTCCACTTCCACCACCTTTGGGATAGGATCCACTTTAGGGAAGCAGCTGAATGATATTGAGGCTGTTACATTAGCAAACTGGCAAGTGAAACAGCTGGTAGTGAAAATGAGACAGGAAGGGCTGGGACTAGCAGGTTAGTTGTGAATTAACTAGAAAAAAATAAGTCAGACAAGGATTTCTTCTTTCTCTCAGCGAATTAAACGAGCACAGAATCTAAAATAAGCTGCCAAATATACTTGGGAGGCATGCCAAAGTAAAAGCTTGGCATTACGTGTGGCCAACACGTCACTGCAGACCTGTGTTCCATGATTTTGGTTTTCGGTACTTCTTTCCAGAACTGTGAAAGATCTTGTGATCCAGCATTTTCCATCTCTGCAGCCATAATCAGAAACCTGTCCTGTGGAGAGGCCTGAGAACCTGCACAAAATCAGGCAGAGAAAAACAAAAAAACAAAAACATTAACGTAAGCACAACTCACCGAGACAGCTGTTGAAAACTGAATAATTCGATTTTTGTTTCAGAAAATGCAAAAAATTTTTTTAAATTGCTCTTAAAATCAACAACAAAACTAGTGCAGCTGACTGATTTGGTTCAGACACAGAAACAGAAGGACTATGTTCACAGAAGCCAGTGTTAGATGTGACAGTTTTGGGGAGAAGAAAACCCCCCCCCCCCCCCCCCCCCCCACCACAGCATAAAAGCTGGGAAAAAAAGTAACCCAAAATAAGCTGCACTGGTTCCTCTGAGCGAGCTATGTTCAGCACATCATAACCTACAGCTGACATTTCGGTGCTTGAAGGGCACAAGCTGTTTCAACTCACGCAGCACTGTCAGTTGTCTGATGGTTTGTTTTGTAGAGATGATTCTTTTATCAGTCTTGAAA